GCCACTGTCGGCCTCTCCAGCCCCCCTGTAAACGCCCCTCCCAGCGCCCTGGTCCGACACCCTGGAAGCACCGCCCCCCGCCCCAGCAGCCAGCGTCACTGCTGCGCCCTCGGCCTGGCCCCCCAGCTGCACTCTGAAAGCACTCCCCCCCACCCCCGCAAGCTCTGGAGCCCTGCCGTTCTCGGTTCTGGCTCAGGGCCCCCTGGCCTCCGCTCCCGCCCACCTCCCTGCATCTGCTGGACCTGCCCTGGGCCCTCGTCTTCCCCGTCACCCCCAGTGTCTCAGCGGACGCTCTGGCAAAGTCACTCAGGAGAGCCTCTGGCCACAGCGGGTGCTGCCACCCTCCCCCCAAGGACGCTTCAGAGAGGGGGGCTGTGAGGAAGGCCGGGTCACCTGCAGCAGCCAAGCGCACCCCAGGACCCCCAGACCCGGGGCCCAGCTCCGCAAGCTCTGCAAGCCCTGCCCGTCCTTTCCGGCTGCCGCCTGTCCAGGGGGCCCCGGCAGCCCTGCCCCCAGCGGGCCAGACCCTCGTGGCTGGAGCGCTGTCAGCCTGATGGACCGGAAGGCCACTGGGCTTGTTTGCGTGGGTCATGAGGTCCTCGACGGGGGCAGATAAAATAAGGACGTTTCCGAATGTACTGATTTGGGATAAATTCTTGTTTGTGTTTCATCTTTTAGTCTTTTATGTGTGGAATAGATTCACCCGACCTGTCAATCTGCCTCCAGTTACCTCCCAGTTCTGTGACTGCCCACTCCCGCCCTGGCGACGAGACTGGGGCGCTGTGAAGCCGCTGGGCTGCTTTCAGGGCCTCCCGCCCCCCCCCTCCCCGTGGGGAAAGAGGAAAAGAACGGCTACACGGCCTCACGTCCCACGTGAGGCAGCACGGCCTCGAGGCCCATAGACCTTGCCGTCGAGTAACTGGGAACCACATTCTCGGAAGCTTTGATTCGCATGCAGCTGGAAAACAGGCTGACATGCCTGCTGGGCTCAGAAGCTGGAATTAGGCAACAGCTGCCACAGGAGCAAAAGGAGAGCGAATTTTACAAGCGGATTGATCGAGAGTCAGAAAAGAAGAATTGTCAGGCTGCCCTAAGCAATCGTTAAGGGGCCGTGTTTCAGTTGCAAGTAATTTATAGAAAATAAGATCATTTCAAATTGATTAGCTTTGCCATAAAATACACATATTCAAAGATTATAACCCAAAGCCAAAACTCTACCAGAGATTTTGAATCACATAAAAAGTTAGTTAATGGGCCCTGGCTGGTGCAGCTCAGTGGATTGAACACCGGCTTGAGAACCAAGGGGTCACCAGTTCGAGTCCCAGTCAGGGCACATGTCTGAGTTGTGGGCCAGGTCCCCAGTAGGGGGCGCACAAGAGGCAACCACACACTGATGTTTCTCTCCCTCTCTTTCTCCTTCCCTCTCTTCCCCTCTGTCTAAAAAAATAAAATAAGTAAAATCTTTAAAAATAAATAAATAAAAATTTAGTTAATGGGCCTTCAAGTATTTACCGACTGAACAACAAATATACGAACTTGCATTTCATCGGTGTCATTAGATGTTTTCAGAAGAGCAGACGGCCCAGCAGAGACAGACACAGCTGACACAGACACGTCTCCTGCCAAATGAACTCGGGATTCCAGCAATCCACCGTTTGTGGAATTCGGGTCCAAGAGAACCAGCTAGTATTATGAAGTGACAGTGACAACTGACTTTTTTTTTCAGTTTAGTGTCCCCAAGGGCCCTCTAGGACGATGGGTATTTAAAGTCACAGGGAAAATAACAGAAGGCTCGGGGTGACTCAGACCGTCTGCAGCAGTCCTTGGTGTCATTGTCACCGAACTCTAGCTATCTGGTTACCACCACCACCAACAAAAAAGCACACGCCTGTTAGGAACAGGTGGGATTCGCCCGGGAAAACAACATCTGGGGCAGGTGTTTTACTTGTTGACTACTCACTACGTTCAGCGCTGCGCTGTGGCAGGCATTCTGCCTGTTCCCAGGGTGAGGGCATGGACGCTCAGCGACCCTTCGAGTGCAGCAGGTCTTGCTGACTCGCACCCCGTGCTCTTCTGACTCGATTAGGACGTAGAGTGAACTATTTCCATCTCTAACCTCTACTGGGTCAAAAAAGGGGGCTGGCATGTCCATCGCCACGTCTTTTCCGGCGTGAATGCGCCGTATTTGAGGCGTCCTGTCACAGCCACTAGTGGCGTGTCCACTCCTCACTTAGGGCTCCTGGGGGGGGTGCGTTTCTTCACCTCTTTCTGCTTGATTTCAGACAATGGGTATTTACCACAAATGTCAGAGACAAAAATATTCCAGAAAATGCACTGCAACAAACAAAACTCCAACAATATTTAATGGTTATAAAAGTGAAACAAACAAACAAAAACAGCCATGCCCTGGCCGGGTGGCTCAGGTGGTTGGGGCGTCGTCCTGCACCCCAAAGGTTGCGGGTTCGGTCCTGGGTCCCTCCCTTCTCTCTCCCTCCCCCTCTCTCTCCAATCAATAAACATAAATCCTTGCGTAAGGATTTTTATAAATGGAAAAACATAACGGTCTGAGCAAAAAGCTACATGTTCTAAGGAGTTATAAGCATTCAGAGGTGATGTGAAGGGATTCCGTCTGTCCCTTCCAGACAATGCGTTTCCCGTTCACACTTGCAGACGCAGCACGGAACCCGACGACCAGCCTCGCAAACAGGCTTGGACCCGTTGAGGGACACGGTTCCTGATGGAGGAAAAAATGACAGTTTTCTCGGTGATGAGGCTAGAGGTGACGACTTAGGACAGCAGTTCTACAGCCTTGCCACTTAAAAAAAAAAAAAGACAGGTCCTGGAAGGTGGCCCCACACAAGTGCACCAGCCCCGCCTCCGAGCCCGTGGAGTGGAGGCGTGTGGCGCCTCCCACACGGCAGCTCCTTCCCGTGCATGGCCGCTGGTCCCTGTGAACCCGTCTCTGGACACGGGCGAACTCAGTGAGCTGGTTCTGCTCGCTGGCTTACTCCGCCACGCACTCCTGCTTCCGTCCCGCTAATCAGCACTCCAGAACACTATCTGCTAACAGACACGGGGCTAATTACAGCAACCAACCAAACGACGAGGACAGGGCCCCTGCTTCCCCCGCTGCCCAGGCCGGTCCGTGGCACCCGAACAACATTTCCCCTCCCGGGCAGGCATTCTGGAGCAGCGCCGTTCACAGCGAACCTGGAGCCGAGACGCTGCAGAACAGTACAACTGCTCTAGTCATTTGGAAAGGGGCAACGGGAATTAGAGAAAAGGCAGAAGTACAGGCTGCGTAAAGAAGAAAAGCAGTTTAATCCTGAACTGACATTCAGGATTGCAAAATGCTCCTGTCCATGTGGACCTCTTTGAAGTATTTGTTTTAGCCAGCAGTGAAGCTTCGTTGTAAACTTGCCTTCCAGTGATTTCTATGCACTATAGAGTTTAGAAGATTCTTTTATTTTTAAAGATTTTATATTTATTTATTTTTAGAGAGAAGGGAAGGAGAAAGAGAGGGAGAGAAACATCAGTTGGTTGCCTCTTGCACGCCCCCAACTTGGGACCTGGCCCACAACCCAGGCACGTGCTCTGACTGGGAATCGAACTGGTGACCTTTCGGTTCACAGGCTGGTGCTCGATCCATGGGCCACCCCAGCCAGGGTGCTTAGAAGACACATGAGAGAAGTTCAGTCTCCAAGTTGTTGAATACGTTGGATACATCAGTCATGCTGCTGGCTCGGCAGAGTCGGGCTGTGCTCGCCGAAGGCCTGTGCGCCCCACAGACTCGCCTCTAGGGCCCCCGCCCCCATGCCGCCGACCCACGCAGAGCTCCGGCGTCCGCACTTGCCCAGCACGCCCGGGGTGTCTAAGGCTCAGCACCAAAGGAGAGGGTGTGAAAGTGTTCATCATGTGTACATTGACTGCCTGTGGAAATGATAATATTTTGGGTATGCAGGAAAAGCACAGGGCAGTCTAAACTTCGTTTCTTCTGTGCTTTTTTATTTCCATAATGGGACGACTGGAAAATTTAAAACATGCGGCTTGCATTGTATCTCCGTCGGAGAGCGCTGTTACAAATAATGTCAAGGAAAGCTTCCAAGGCATTAGTAGATTCTCATACTGTCTGTGGAAGACAAAAAAAAAAAAAGAGGAATGAAAAATGGCCCTCATGAATCTGAATACCAGGCCTATGGGCCCCAGGCAAAACGAACCACAGCTCCCGCTCAGTGCCCCTGTAGAGACGGCCCCCAGCTGCCAAGAGAGGTCAGAGTTCCAGGGGGGCGGTCTCTGTATTTAAGAGTGTGTGTGTGTGTGTGTGTGTGTGTAATTTGTATATACATGCATGGGGTGGTGGGCAAAGGCAGGTTTATAGCTGTTTGTATGGGAAGAGACATGGAGGCCCTGGTCATCACAAGCTTTACAGACTCGGCAGAACCTCGCTGACACACAACCTCAAACCTACCTCTGCCGCCCCGTCTGCGGCGTGGGGACAGCCCAGCGTCCCTGAGAGCAGAGTGTCTGTGGGAGGGCGCTGCTCTGAGAAGCCGCTCACCGATGAGCTGAACGTTTCCGGACGGACCCCAGAGGGCCCTGTCTCCTCCAGGCTGGCGGGGGCCCCCAACCTCCCCTTGGGGCTCACGGGGTCTCCGGGTTAGCGTGCTGCTCTCCCTGTAACTCAGTAACATGACTTGGAAGTAACAAGACTTTCTCCTCCATACTTTGGCGCCTGCTCTGTCCCTCCCGGCCCTCCCCCTAGTTTGCTCTCTCGGAGTCTGAAGTGACCCCTCAGCGGATCCCTGGGCTCTGGCTCCGCCGCACAGACCAGCGGGGCGCCCTCCCCGACCGGACGGCCGGGCAGGTTGCTCCCTCCTGCCGGCAGGCCTGTCTCTTCCCCACTCTGATCTGTGTGGTTCAGACAACTCAGAACACTGTTTCGGCACGTTCATCCAGCAACACGTCACAGGGTTATAGAAAAAGGCAACATCGTAGGCAGATTGGTTGTAACTCTTTATCAAGGGACGGAACCGCTTCTCCAGACACTCAAAGGAATTGCGGTAGCGAGAAAATCATTTTAAAGTAACACTCACTGAACAGTAATTAACAGTAAGAAACTAGTCCAACACACAGGAATGGTGGAGGTTAAATAAGTTGTGACGAATTCATATGGTGGGATTACTCTATGACTATTAAAAATAGTATGCTTTTGAAAAGATAAATGACAAAGCAGATGCACACAATTAAAGGTAACAAAGACACGTCACCATTTACAACATGATCTGACTCCAATTATATAAAATAAAACACATAGCCTATGGTAATAGTGGCTGCTTCAAGGTGGTGAAATCACAGGTTAATTTTTTTTACATACAGCTTCTGTGTTTTAAAACTTTTTACAATGAATATATATTACTCTTATAATCAGAAAAATATATACATAAAATAAACTATGATTCTCTAGTTTCCAATTTTGATAAGTTCAGTTTCTAAAAGAGGATCGCCGAAAGCTTATCTTTCATGGGAAAAAAAAATCATACCGCCTCTAAAGATGATGCGTAATACAGTACAGTATTCTTATCCTTGGTAACACTGTCAGCAGGAGTAGTTACACCTGGCACAGCATTGGTCCATCTGACTGGACACGATGCTGGTTCATCTAGGAAACAAACACCGAGATGACCCACCGCCCCAGTGCCACAGATTTCCCTGTCTGAGTGTCGGCAAGACTTAGGTCAGGGGCATGGGAGGGCATCAGGACATCAGCGGCCTGTTTCGGCGTAACACTTCAAAGTGTAACTAGTTGCGAGCTGGTTCCCCCGTAGCGGCAGCGGCAGCAGCAGCAGCAGCAACAATGGAAGCTGGGACTCAGCGTTCGCCGGCACGAACCTTCCCGTGCGAGCGGGCCGAGGGCTCCGGAACCCGGGGAGCGGTTTTCAAGCTCAGCTCACAGGACGGACGGCGCACGCTAACGAGCAGAAGGTGAAGTCCTTCTTCACCGGGTGAGTCAGCACTGTCCTCTGACTCTCTCCGGAAGGGCGCCCCATTCCTTCCGAGGCCCTTTCTACAAGGACAGGGTTTACAGTCAAGTCCGTCGTCCCATTGCTCCGATCACGCACTTTCCACGCCTTCCCTCCTCCCGGGGCCCGGAGCCCGGAGCCCGGCAGTACGGCGCGTCCGGCATCCGTGTGTGCTTCCTGAGGCACCCAGCAACTCCTGAGTCACGTTGGTTTTGTGCAAAGTCATGCAAAGTCCCTCGTGAGCAGGCCGGCCCTCCGCAGGGCTCCGAAAGCCCCCAAGGACTCAGGGGTTCGGGGGGGCCTGGAGAGTCACCTACAAATAGCAGGTCCTACCATTCGCTCCGCCAGGCAGGTCGTGAACCAGATGCAGATTAACGAACGCCAGCAGCATCGGGCAGAAACTCGCTGCGTTTGGGAGGACTGCGCCCGCCTAGGGCCCCCCTCCCCCTCCCCCCGTCATCTCTGCTGTCTTCTGTCACCTTCCTTTGCAAGGGACACTCGGTTGGACGGAGACCATCGGGCCTCTCGTGGAGGCTGGGAGACGGTTGCTTGGGACTTAACTTTGGTCGCTCGGGTCTTAACGTTGATTTCCAACCCTTGCAATGATGACTTTAAGTAAAATACGTTATTTAGGAATGGACACAGACAAAAATATCCTAACCTTGTCATTAAATGTCTGTAAAAATGTTACAGAATGGTTCCCGTTTCTCGGGCTTTTGTTACACAAGGTGTCGCACGTAGAACTGATGGCCCTTTGGTTTTTGACCACCCCCCCCGCCCCCCGCAAAAAAACCCCAGGCACTATTCATAGCATTCAAGATTTCACAACCACCTAGCTTACTTCAAACCCTCCGTCCCACGTTGCAGAAAGCTTCTGTAGAAATCAGATGTGCGAAAGCTACAGCGTCACAACGCCGGCAGGGGCAAATGGCAAACAGCTCACGTGTGTGCACGATTATTTCAAAATAAATACATAGGACAACATTCGGGACTATTTGTAACTCCTCCTGCCTTTACAATGTTCGATTCGGGACTATTTGTAACTCCTCCTGCCCTTCCTGGAGTAGTAAAAGATGAGCGAAAGCGAGACAACGAAAGCAAAGAGCAGGAACGCGATGAAGGCCAGCAAGCCCTTCCGGGTGTGGAAGAAGCCGCACTCGGTGCACGGCTCGAACTCCCGCGGGCAGAGTCCGCCCGGCGGCTCGGGGCCCGGGAAGCCGTTGCCGTCGATGATCTCCCTGTAGTGCTGCACCGACGGCTTGGGCTCGAACTGAGCGGCCGCGTAGCGGTAGAGGCCAAACCTGGGCGCCGTGCGGTCGCTGAACGCGTAGGCGAAGTAGCCACGGAGGTGGACGCCGTCCAGGGCGTAGGCTGCGGAGACCAGAGGGCAGAGGGGGAGTTAGGGACACGCTCCGCACACAGCACACGAGGTGCCCCTGTCCCTGGGGTGTCCGGGGAAGTGTTACTGCCCTTTCACAGAACTTCAGGTTAAATTGGATTTCATCAGGAAGGGCTTCTTTTCTGGGGAGACAAATGCGGAGCTACATGGAACACCGTGGGTTTTACAGAATGCACCCTACCAGGAGGGACTTGGGGGCATCTTCGTGCCCAAGAAGCAGGTGGGACCGCTGTGGGCGGGGCAGGGGGGCAGGGGTGGGGCAGAGGGCAGGGCAGTCCGCGCCTCCGAGGCCCAGGCCAGGTGGCCGGGATGTTCAGTCTACAGCATGTAGCTGCACCCCTTTATCTCAGGGGGAAACCCCAACTCTCTGCAGGGCGTCTTCAGTGTGGCAAACACGGACAGCACTTTGCTCTGAAGGCGTCTGTGTGTGTGTGTGTGTGTGTGTGTTTCAGAGTTCCCAACAGGTGTGACGCCCTGGGCAACATCACCTTCGAGAGACAGTTCTCGGGGGCCCTACCTTTCAGAGCTTCGTTGACGTAGCTCTTCAGGTAGTGCACCCTCAGCCGGTCCTGGCCCGCCTGCAGGTCGTCGTCCACGCCGTTGGCGATGACGTAGGTGGGCAGGTCTCCGTACTTGGACTTCAGCCAGCCCAGGACTTTGCGCAAGCCCCAGGGCACCACGGCCACCTGGCCGGGCGAGTTGAGCCACGTGATGTCCGTCATCTCCTGCACCTCCAGGTAGTCGTTGTACTTGCTGGGGTCCTCCTTCTCCCAGTCCACGAGGATGGTGGTGTAGTGGCTCACGGCCAGGAAGTCGAAGGAGCCCCGGATGAGCCGCTTCTCGTCTTCGGTGAAGTAGGGCAGCAGGAAGTTGTTCCTCCGGTTCAGCCAGTCCCGCATCACCCGCGGGTAGTCGCCGGAGCCGAACACGGGCTCGGCCAGCCAGCCGAGGTCGAACTCCAGCACCCGCTCCGCCCCCTCTTGGTCCTTCGGGGAGGAGGGGCAGGCCGGCTCGATCCAGTCGGCCTGCAGGGCCAGGGACACTTTCCCGTTCTGGGAGCGCCGGAACTGCCCGTCGTAGGCGCGCCAGGCCAGCGCGTGGGCCTTCAGCAGGTTGTGCCCGGCGCTGTAGGTCATGTTGCGCGTGGGCGGCTCGTGCATCGTGATCCAGAACTTGACGTGCGGGCCAAGCTCCTGAAAGCACAGGCGGGCGTAGTCGGCGAAGGCCAGGGCGGTGCGGGGGTTCTCCCAGGCGCCCTGCCGGGCCAGCAGCTCGGGCAGGCCTTGGTGCGGCGCGGCCGGGCGCCACAGGGCCACCGCGGGCGTGACGTTGGCGCGCACCAGCTCGCTGGCCAGGCAGCGGTAGAAGTGCAGGGCGGTGAGGTTCACCTGCGACCGGTCGCCCCGCGGCAGGACCAGGGCCCAGTCCAGCGAGAAGTGAAAGTGCGTGGCGTGCGTGTCCTGCAGGAGGGCCACCTGGGCGTGGATGGCCGCGAAGTCCGCGCAGGAGGGCGGCCTCCTCCTGGCCACGAGGCCGTCCACCTTCAGGAGCCCCTTGCTGCGGTGCACGTCCCACAGGTAGACGTGCGGGTCGGTGAACTGGGACAGAGCGGTGTCCACCTGGGGGGACAGAGGAGCGTACATGTGGCTCACCTGCACGCGGGGAAGGAGAGTTCCGTGCAGTTCTTCCAGCGAAACTGGCCCGCAGCGCAAGCGAAAGCAGGACCCCTCCTGGCAGAACGCCGACACGATTTTTCAGTAACAACGAGCTCCTGAGCAAGAAAGCAGCCATTTCGTTAGTGCCCATTGTCTCACCCCTAAAATCACAGATCTCTGTGTGACTTCCAGCACTGCTTTAAAAACCCGAATTTTCCCCTTGCTTCAGATGACAGACATCAGCCACAGTGCTCACACATCTCTGGTCCACGGGAAGCAGCAGAGGATTTGGGGGCGTTTTTCTTTCGATACACAAAATGACTGACGAGATGAGACTTCGAAATTATTTTTTAAATGGCAAAGATAAAGGTTAATGCCTGAGTGAGTGAGAGTCAAAAAATAACATGGCCTTTGAAATGAAATCGTGCTTCTCAGAAATCACGCTCTGTGCTGGGCATTGCTCTCAGGAACGAAGACACTGGATGAGCAGAGGTGTCCCCTTCTGTTAGCTTTGGGGCTGGTGACTGAACTGAGCGAATTCTATCTGACAGTGGGAAGTGATGAAGAAGGTGGACATAGGAAATGAAACTGTCATCCACCCATAATGGGTTTTTTAACATAGTTAAAAAATTTTTAGAGGTTTCATTTATTTATTTTTACAGAGAGGGGAAAGGAAGGAGAAAGAGAGGGAGAGAAACCTCAATGTGTGGTTGCCTCTTGCACGCCCCCTACTGGGGACCCAGCCCACAACCCAGGCCTGTGCCCTGACTGGGAATCGAACCAGGGACCCTTTGGCTTGCAGGCCAGCACTCAGTCCACTGAGCCACACCAGCCAGGGCTAATTTTCTTTTCCTAATTGTTTTTCTGTGACGATCAACACCTGACACTAAAGCCTCCAAAATGAAACTAAGCGTTCGGGAAAGTGGACGAATTGTAAACCCAGAATGACAACATGCCCCCTGCACGTGTCCACCAGCGAGGGGATGCAGACTGAAACTGCGCCCCAGCCCGCCGCCCCTGCACCCCGGGGTCTCCTTAGAGAGGGTTACATGGGGTGACCCTCTGGACAAAAGCCAAGGTCAGGCAAACTCCAGTTTGGGACCTCTAGGACAGGTGTCCTGGTGGTTTCCTGGGGCCCGCTGCCGACGGGCTGCCGTGTGCCTCTCTGCAGGAGCTGGTGCTGCGTTCGTGAAGGAACGTCTTAATAAAGATCAGCGCGTCAGAGGGAAGTTGCTTTCTCGGGAGGAGGGCCCCTTGCGGCTCGCCCAGGAGTGCGTCTCCCCAGTGTTACGGGGATGCTGCCAGAAGCTGCCTTCTCCCCGCAATGCACCCACACAGCACGCCTGCTCTGCTCTGCAGGAGAAAAGACTCTCACATGCTCTTCTGAAGGGAAAGTGCTCACGGCCTGAAGGAATTTTTGGATTATTTTTACGGAACCCTGAGCTGGCTAAATTCGTACCTTTTCTACCACAATTGTCCCCCAAACACCAGCTTTTATTCAGTCCGTTTGAAAACAAACAGGAGAGACTAAAGTATACGTGTTTTGGGCTGGGGGGGGAATCTATTTCTTAAAAATACAGGACACTGAGAAATGATGGACTTCAGGCAAAATTCGATCTCAACTCCATTAGTTAGTTGACGTATTTCTCAATAAAGACAAATGAGCTAATAAGGCTGAACCCGTCGGAAGGAGCAGGCGTGAAGCACGTATTTAGCATCTTATGGAAGAGCCTCGGTCCTCACGTGACCGGTGCTGGAGAAGCCCCAGCCGCCGCAGGCAGCGGGCTCTGCACCAAGTCCATGGTCAGAGTGAGTAGCTGGGGACAGACACTGTGAGCTGGGGAATGGGTCCCTCACCGTGACAGTCCTCGCGAAGACGCCTGAGGTCAGACATCAGACAGGGGGTGTGCCTCAGGGGCGTGATTTCTACAGTTTTTCAAGTGAAATGCATGCCCCATTTATGCGAGGATTTTTGAAACGCTAGGCCGGAGGGAAAAGGTGCCTTTCCATGGTTTCAAAGTCACTTCTCAGGACTTCGATGCAATATTCTATAAGTACACGCTGCAGCCTGTAAATTAGAACGTTCGCCCACACTCCCAGAGACGGCCCCCCCCACAAACCCTGTTCCTACTGTGTCTGCCAGGAAGCTGGCGGGGGAGGGCGTTGCTGGGGGAACGCAGAGCTCAGCGGGGCAAAGCAGTGAAAACAGAACTGCAGTGGCAGCCTCCTCCCACTACAGATCTCCGGGAGAAGTTCAAGTCCACCGCAAGGCGGAGAGAGAACCTGCCTAACCCTGTGCTTGGCTGGCTCTGCACAGGAGAGCCCTGGGGCTCCGCTGGGTGGAGGAGCAGCTCCCCCGCAGACCTGATGATGTGCATGGGGGTGCGGCCTGACTTTGGATCGAATTCTAGAGCCAGTGCTTCTAAGGGGTAGGAAGCGGGGTTCTCGCCCCGTCCCCCTCCCAACCCCGCCTCACTGCCATTCTTGCTGCATCTGACCACAGTGCCTCTTCTCTTCTGAGGAAATAGGATACATTCTTAAGACTTCCTCACTCATTACCTGTCTCCGAGGCAAACCTTTCTGCCCTTGGGTGGGGGCCGAGCAGAGGGAACAGGGGCTCCCTCCCACCTCTCTGAGCTCACGCCGCCGTCTGCCCAGAGGTGCTGGCTGGGACGGCTCTCCACAAAGGACGGAATGGGGATGGCTGCCCGGGCGCAGGCAGCCATCGGGGATCGGGGAGGAGCCTGCGCCCTCGACGGCAAGGGGGCACTAGGGCCCCACTGGGTACCCCCCTCGCAGGACGGCAGCTTGGACTGGGAGACCGCGGAGAGCAGGGGGCTGAGGGAGGGCGTGGGGGGATGCTGGAGACCCCCACTGAGCGGGCAGAGCAGCCAGGGCTGGGGGTGGCCTCGGACGTCCTTACTCACCTGCAGGGAAGGGCTTCACTGCTGAGACCGCCCCTAAAGCTAACCGGGGGTCTGAAGGAGACACAAGGGTAATGCAGACCCACAAAACACACGGTAGGCACGGTGTTGACGTACTGCCCTGGAACTGAAAGATGGCAATTTGATGTTTACAAGAAAAAAGCAACCCATGTCAACTAGAAGGCCTTTCCTCAGATCCTAACGTTCTTCCAAATACTTCTGAGCTGAAGGATCCCAGGACAGCCAGCCAGAACGGGTGCCTCCAGTGTGTTGGCGTGCTGGGCTGCAGGAGCTCACGGTGGATGCGGGGATGGTGGGGGTGGGGGGGGCTTCCCTGCACTCTCCTTAGCTGCCTGAGGATGCACCCCCTCCCGAGCTCCAGCAGCCAGGGGAGACTGGCCCTTGTCACAGAACAGGAGACGAGGGGTCGGCTCCACACGCAGATGAACTTGGCCCCAAACTGCCCTAGTTCCCACCTGTTCTTACAAGGGCCCGTTTATGTTTCCCGAAAGCCATTTGCTCTCCCTTAAGAGACCTGCACCCCCTCTCCCCTTTCCCTCTTAACACGGCGTCTAGGCCTGGACTCTAAGCCATTCTGGGGGGGCTGCTCCTTTCTCTCCGAGTATCCCCCACGCATGTCGGAGGTGCACGTGTTAATCAACTTTGGTGTGTTTTTCTCCTGTGAACCTGTCTTTTATTACCGGGGTCTCAGCTGAGAACTCAGACGGGGGGAGGGGACGTTGTTTTTCCTCCCCTGCAGAACCAGTGAGTTTGGCCAGAAGCGCCCGACAGGACGCGCCATGCCCCCCTGCCCGTGCGCCAATAGCGAGCGCGCTCCGTTCCCACGCTCTGCTGGGCAGCAGCACCGCCCCGCCGCGCTCGCTTCCCACGTGCTCGGTTCCCTGTGTGATCCGGCGTATGTGGCCAACGTGTCCTCTCCAGCCTCCTTACAGAGCAGGGGTCAGGCTCACTCGCCTCCTCGCACACACCCCCAACCGAGCACCCCCAGCCACCAGCCCAGGGCTGGGCCCAGGCTGGCTGGCTGTCCAGCAAGTACTTACTATTCGATCAAATTCTAGAACGCACATTATTTTTTAAATTGAAGATTACAGTTTGAATTTCTTAAGTTAAATCGTTAAATTCAAATAACACTGAGAAGGAACTGCAGAGCAGGTGCTCAGTGGATACACCGGCTGACCGTTCTGAAGCGCTTCCCCTCCCCCATCGCAGGGACAACGGCGGGGGGGGGGGGGGCGGGGCGGGGGAGGGGGCTCCGGACGAGTTCCGGCGAGGGTGTTCCTCCGCTACGGCTACGTGCGTGTCCTTCGGCAAGACTGGGGACCCCCAGTGACGTCTCACGAGGAGGGGCTCGGCCCAGTGCGCCCGCCTGGGGCCCAGCCACCCTGCTGAGATCTCAGACAAGGCGGGGCTCTGCGCTGCGTCAAGGTTATGGAGCTCAACTTGCACTCTGCAAGTTTTGAAAACCACTGTGTTAAAAAAAAAGGAGTATCTCTTATCTGATCTTAAATATTAATACATGTTCTGTGCCCCTTTGGGGGCCGATCTGAAGGGCAAGGGGGAGGAGCTAGGAAGAGTTTTGGAGGGAAGGACGCAGCAGCGTTCCGAAGGATGCCCTTCAGGCACGGTGTGCGGTCGGAGGAGGAGGGTGGACGGACGAGGGGCCGGGACCACCCGGGACCCCCCCCCCCAAGAAGGAGGCGCTACTTACGAGCGAGAGGGCGCGGTGACAGCGCTCATGGGCTCGCTGGCTGACTTACTTGAATGTAGTTGTCCGCAATTCCCCAGGCAAAGTCGCAGGGAAAGGTCCCCTCGAGGGGCTGGTTTTCGGGTGAAGGGGGGAAGCCGTTCTTCTCGATCAGCTGTTGGTAGAACAAGGCTGAGGACTTGGGCAGCAACTTCTTGTCCTGGCTCAGGAAGTCCACGTAGAAGAGCCCACGCCGGATGCCGTAGCCCCGGTGCCACTCGAAGCCATCCAGGAGCGACCACGCCGTGTACCCGATGACGTCCACCCCGTCCAGCCTGATGGCTGCAGAGGGAAGAGAGGACAGCGGCAAGTGACCCTTCGCTGGACGCTCGCCTGCCATGGACGAGCCCTGGAGACCTTCCTGTGTGAGGGAATGGGAAATTCCGCAGGGCGCTTACTGTTTGGTGAACCCATGGCCTGCAAAGGCCCCAGTCCAACCTGGATAACTCCACAGATACGCTCTGCACCAACAGACTCGTGTCCACTGTGTCTTTATTTGGATTTCCCTCCTCCCAGGGGCTGGCCTTTGGACCTGGCCAGGTGTGCTCCCCTTTCTATCTCGGCACCTGACGCGGCGTCTGATGTCATAAACGAAGGGAGTCTTTGAAAGCACGAAGTACTGACTCTTTTCTCTGGATGTCGATATTCCTTTTTTTTTTTTAAGTGCCTCATTCTGTACACATCGTAAGAACTCAAAACACGTAAGGAGAGCTAGCTCCCTGGGGTTTCCTTAATGCTTAATGTAATCTAAACACCTAGAGCAGTCGTCCTGAAAGCCAAGTGATTTCACACATTATAATCTAGAGCTTCTCATTTATAAAATGAGTTTAAAAATTAATTTAAGTTCCTCAAGTCCCCAAATGACAACGGTGTGACAGGAATTCATTCCTATTATAGCCAAAAGCAATCTCTACATTCTGATAAGAAACGATAAGTTCACATGGTTTATTACAGATCATCTGAGAGATTGTTTTAGCAGTGGATGTGGACGGGAAATTGGAATTTCATCCCCAAGCCTACCTTTTAAAGTCTCCATTATAAACTTTTTGAGGTAGTACATATATTTGGCGTCATCTTGCTTGGTGGTCCCTGAGACAAACCAGCCGTTCTCCACGATGAAGATCTGCGGGTGGTTGTACTCGAGGTCCACCCAGGACAGCAGCTGCCTCAGGCTGGGAGACTCTACTTGGCGGAACTTCATGGGAGGGTCCAAGAGCTGGAAACTCAAGGTCGGCCCGAAGGAAAGAGCAAAGAAGTCGGCCGTTCCTTTGACGAACTTCTTCTCGGGGTCCGAGAAGGCCGGCAGGAGGGTCGAGAGGCTGTTCTTCATGCTGTCTGGGTAGTCACCGTCGACGAATATGGGTTTGGCGAACCAGCCGAGGACGAAGTCGAGAGACTTCTGGCATTCTTGGATGCCGTGGTCCGCCCTCCTCCGGGGGCTGATCCAGTGCGAGCTCAGGGCGATGGACACGCGGCCCCCCTGGGTGGGGCGGAAGGAGGTGTTGTAGAGGTGCCAGATTTTGGCATGAGCCTACACAAATCAAAACAAAAGGGAAAGGCTAGGGTAAATTGATGTTTGATTGTGAAGAGAGATGTAACACATATTTGAATTCCCAACCCTATTTGTATCTGTTTCTCATCAAGCCTAACCTAATGACTAACCCCGCAAGGGAAGTGTCGCCTGGCGTCCATAAATCATCTCAGAGGGAGGTCAGCCCACAGCCAGCTGCTGCCCAGCCTGGGATCATTGCCACCGTCCTCAGCCGCCAGTCCAGTGGAAAATGTGAATTTTTTTTGGTGTTGAATGTGTAGTTATTATTCATACTTTGAAAATTCACGAAATAAGAATCTGTTATAATATCGTGCTGCTTCATTGACTTTGGATTATGTACTGTGTAATGAATAGGCCTCGTGAAAACGACCAAACCCAAATCCGTGATCGCACCAGGAATTTCCAAATAGGATTATGTATACTTCTTTCTATCCTAAGAGACTGAGAGTTTTCAAGTTGGCTCACACTGTTGGAGCCGATTTAATATCTTGGAGTCATCGGTCGGAGATACAATTCTGGCACATGTTCTCACCATCTTTGTTCTTCCCTAAGAGGAACCCGTGGAATAAACTAAAGGACCGACTGCGGTACGTGAACTTAACCCCCCCGACCTCCCGGAGCTCAGGGACGGCGCCGACTTCCCGCAGGGCCCAAGGCCCACGGTCCCCGCAAAGAGCGGAAAACCACCCCCATGCAGCCTTGAGGGGACCCGGTGCCCGCGGCCAGTGAGCTCCCAGCCCGGACCCCCCTGCAGCAACGAGATGGGCTTCCCTCCCACGACAGCGGGGTCGCGCTCCCGTCACACCTGCCTGACCCCTGCTGTCTCGTGGTCCCTGTGTCCTTTCTCTTCGTAAAGGAAAGGGAGTGTAGTAGAGTTCTTCCAACCTCACTTGAATTATGTTTCTCTTCGCTTTTCAACTCCTCAGTTTACTCTGTTTGGCTAAAAATACAAGTGCTGTTCATCAGCCTTGGGCCCCACTAACAGATCATCTTCAAAAACTCGCTCAACTCGGGTTGACGCACACTCTCCGCGACCGTCACGCCAACTTCCGCCCCACTCCCTGGGCCCCAAGGAGCTCGCTCACGCAGTGCACCCAGCACCCTCTCCATGTCTGTCTGAGTGTCGTCCTCGTGGCTGGTGGCAGGGTGTGGGGGGTGTGGGCCCCACAGCGGCCTCACCGCTGTTCTGAGGAGTTCAGCCAAGCATTTGCGTGGAATGGAAGAGTTTATGGTGACCCCTCATCTGTAGTTTCTTACTGAATATCTGTTTCGTTTCACTGAACGTATCTTTCTTTTTTCGGGGCCCAAAGCAGCTCTCTGCACACTAAGGAGGAAATGCAGAATCAAATGTGGATCCAAACAGGAGTGGCGTCTACACAGGTGATTCAGACACTGCCGGCTTGGTGAGGCCACCTCCACCTTTCTCTGCCGTCCTCTCCCTTGGTGTCCGGCCGCTCCTTTTCCAACGGACAAGAAACCTCAGCCTGACGCTGAACGGTGAAACAGAAAAGAAACCCGTTCATGCTCCTCCTCGGGATGCCAGGCCCCAGCACTTGGAGGCCTAACAGCCAGGCCCTTAACGTCTCATCGTCCTCTGCAGAGCAAGCGCCGCAGGGGGCAGAGCGGAGGTCGGGCGGGAGTGAGGGCAGCCCCAGGACTTCCTAATCCTAATCGGGGTGCGTTCTGCTGGCAGCTGGAGTCAGAGCCGGGCGGAGGGACTGTTCGCCGCCCTGGACTGCTCCCTCTTCCAGCTGCGAGGACCTGGACGCCGCTCCAAGAGGACGGTGGGCAAGGAAACCGGTGGCGGAGGCTGGAGGCTGCACAGAAGCGCGCGCGCGCGGTTTTCGACTTCGGATGAAACTCCTGCTCCGCCGCAGTCAGTAGTGTGCCTTTCACCGCGTTCCCCAACCTGCGCGGGGAAGACCCCCTTTCCCGGGTCACTCCCCGGCCCTTAGGAAGGGGAAATGAGAGGCTTCAGGCAAAACACCCAACGCAAAGCCTGCCAGGGGGAGGGTCTCCATGAACGCGTATTCCTTCTGTCCCTAAGGGGCGCGCAGGCCGAAAAGGAAGACGGCGCACGCCTCTAGGGAAACACGCCCGCTGAGGGGGGGGCGCAGTCCACAGAGGCGCGCGGATGGGGTGCCGTGATACCACGTGGGGGCTGGGTTGGAAGAGGCGGCTTTGGATCCCGCGTCCTCTCCCCATTACCAGCGGGAGCCTTGGATGTTTCCCTGGACCAAGGGGAATAGCATCTCTTCTCCTGTGGGGGCAGCGTGGGGATTACAGCACAGGATGCGAATGAGAGGTTCTAGCAAGCTGTCCGTCACTAAGAGACGCGCACATCTGCAGCCCCACAAGGCAGGGCGGTTCATTCTGTGCGTCAGCCTGGCGGGGCTGAGGGACCCCAGACAGCTGGTGGGACGCTGGGGGAGAGTCCAGCCCAGCTGCTGTGTGGTTCTGCTGGGTCCACGTCCGTTCTGCTTGACCCAGCGTCCTGCGGGGGCCTGCACTGACCCGGCCTCGCGCGCAGGCACAGGCCCCAGGGAGCAGCCTGCGCGGCCATCAGCCCTGGCGAGTTCCCGATGGGACTTTCCCGGCAAGAGTTTGGGATCTACCGTCTCCCCTGCCTCCTTGGGCCTGTACCATTTCTGAGTGTTTTGGATAAGACCCCCGTGGGGCTTACCTAAACCCATCTTTTGGTTTGAATCGACCGATTTGGCCCTGGCCTGGGAACCCCAAAGCACGCCACCCACAGGCCGTAATAACGGCCCGGTCCCTGGTCCTGTCTCTCTCTCTCCCTGCTCTGCCTTCCCGTCCCGTGTGTTGCCGTGAACTTCCCCCGGCACCCCCACTCCAGTCGCGCCGGTGCTCTGTCGTGACACAGAGGCCGCCTCGCAGCACCCTCTGTTCTGTGGAGCGCACGCCAGTTGAACGAACCCGTGGTGACATCATTTCTGGGCCTGCCTGTGAGGGTCTGGCGGCAGGAGATTAGCTTCGGTGGTGGACTAAGAGCGGAGGGCCGCCCTCGCCCAGGAGGGCGGGCGTCGGTCCCGCGGAGCCCGGAGCAGAAGGAAACGGGAGGGGAGGACGGGCCTGCGCCTGCTGACCTCACCGGGACTTCCACCCGCTGCCGTCTGGGTCGCTGGCTCCTGCGTCTCAGGCCTCCGGGTGGGGACAGAAACCACGCCACCGGCTTTCCCCATCGGGAGGCTACTCGGGCTCCGTACACGCGAGCCAATCCCGCGCGGTGCACCTCTGTCCAAACTAACCCCGCCGGCCCGGGTCCCTGGGGAGCCCTGACTCGCACAGAGAGCAGCATCTCAGGTGTTGCTCAGCTAACCCCCCACCCCATTCCAAACCGCCCCCCCCACTGGATCTGATATCTGACTGCTCTCTACTGCAGCCCAAACTGGGGGCCACTCCAGGCGGGGCCTCTGCTCCCGGAAGCCCCCCACCCCCACTCCTGTCCCAGCTCCCCACACGGAGCTGCAGGGCCAGCCTCTGGGGACCCCTATTTCTTCCACCTCTCCCCTGCCTCTCCAGCCCGAGCTGAGCCCCCAAAAGGGCTGCCTCGCTCCCCACCCCCACCCGGCACACAGAGAGAGGCCCAGCGGTGTCTGTCACACTTAACCAAATGCCGCGTCACCGCCTCCTGAGTGCATTTCACTTCCAGATGGTGGGTTTTTGTAGCCAAAGGCTACGAGGCAAGGGGTAGTAGCAAGGTCACCATTTGCCGCATTGTAACAAGGAAGGATGATTAATAGAGAAAGGTTATGCATGCTTTTGCATTGCTTTCTAATTATTCTGGGTATGGTAATCTTATAATCTCGTTAAGATTAAAATTTAATAAAGCTATTGACAAGGACTCAGGGAAATAATTTAGGGCATGAGCAAGAATGTTTATCTAAATACTGTTTCTAATGGCAAAATACTGCAACCAATCAAAATGTCCAATATTCAAGGACATTCACACCATCCTATGCCTGTTTTAACACACTGCGGTACAACTAAAGCAATGCTCCTAGTCAGATGTTACAAATAATACAGAAGAATGGGATGTCTATTAACATGTAAAATATGTTGCTAAAATACTAACTGAACAAAAAAGCAGATTACAAAGCAATATGTGGGTTTGCATAGCACTTTAGAGAAAACATTTAGATTATTGAGGAAAATATGTATGCAAAGATCTAGAAGGGTTTATACCTTGTTAAGGAAAGGCCAGGATTGGGGGGGAGGACAGCACGGTCTTCATTTTGCTTATCTCTGTGGTTTCCATTTCCTCCCACACACATGTGTTGCTTTAGAAGTAAGACAGACACTTAAAGTTCCAAACAGGAAAGCAGCTCTGAGGAGTTGCAAGGCAGGCCCTGCTGGACCCACCCGTGGTGGCTCTGTGAAAGCCGCGAGGTCATGAAAGCCTGCCCGGCTGCCCTCCAACCTGCCCCCAGCCCCTGCCTCCAGTCCGCGCTCCCAGGCACACTGAGCCCCACGCGGAGCTCTGAGATCCCCGAGGCTCCCGCGTGTCTGCGGGATCAGCCCTCGCGTGTTTTACCTACTCCCAGACTCTCCGGCCTCACCCTCCTCATGACTCGGCTCAGACATCACCGCCTCCAGGAAGCCCTCCCTGACCTCTTCCCTCTCCCTACCCTTAGATGTCTTTTCCATGTGTCTCCACATCTGGTCCCTCTCAGACACCTCAACCACAGGACACTGCGTTTATCTAACTGTCTAAGTTGTAGGCGTTTCAAAGGCATCGACCGGGCTTTTCTCCCTCTGGCCTCAGACTCCAGCGAGGTATCTGGGTGGAGTAAGTATTCCATAAACAGCCATGGAGGATGCAGGCTGGCGTGAAGAACCAGATCAAAAAGTCCGGGACAAAAGCAAACAATTTTCTGCGCCAGAGCAGCGGAACTCTTTCATAAGATGTCCGGGTTGTATTTTCCTTCTGAGACCTTAAGAGAGAACTTTCAGGCAGA